GGGTGCTAGAGGATGGCACAATAATTTTACAGCAGGCGAAGGAATTCAGATCTCAGCACTGAATTTCGGGGAAATAGAGACAGGGCTAATTGTCCAGAGTCTGAGAAATCAAGAAAGCATCAAGTTGCTTGAGAACAGATGATCTTTTTGGGGCCGTATTGAATAAATCATCTCATGTTTAGCACCAAGGACATGTCGTAACGTGCCGTCGTTTGAACGCGTTCCGCAGATGATCCTGGTTGGTTTTGCAGCGTTTGTAATGGAAAACGTGCCTTCGGTAACTATGTGTCTGGATCAGTGCACAAAGTCAGTCTCATGTTATACTTTGCTTAAAAGTTCAGCGATATTAACTGTAATTTAAAATGATACGAATGAGCTGACTGTAATTCGTTTTATTTTGATTAGTAATTCCTATCAATGAGTCTAGCAAAGCCAAGTGTTCGAGAGAATCACTTTAAAAAAAGATGCAAAGAATGATTGGGTTTTCTTGCAGGGATATTAGAAACTTGGTTTTTTTTTTTTTTTGCTTTTTCAATACTTCAGTAAGAGAACATAATAGTAATGATGCAGTGGATAACAATATTGTTGTGCGGTAAGTTGAAAGTTCGACTCTGCAGTTGGAACAATCAGTCCCTGTACGACTCGTTTCGGTGGTTAATTGATAGTGGTATATGCATGGAGTCAAACTGGCCATCAGTTTGTAGACAGTTCTCAGAAGTGAAAACCATCGACAGCCCTGCAAGCGGATGCTTTTTGCTGGCATTTGCCATTTCCAGTGTCTCCGCCTCTCACTGAGAAGGAAATACAGAGGAGGTTTTCACTTTTTGAGCTATGAACAGTAATGATAAGGACCATATGTCGTTAAAACAAGCTTCGTATTCGTCCTCTACTAAAGTCAAAGATACTAGGAAGTAGGCCAAGTATAACAAATGTCAACAGCAACTATCCGCTGGCAAAGCTGTCTTTGAGTCCCTCTTTCGCGGGTCACTTAAAATCAAGCTCATAGTGAGTTTGCTTCGTGCATGCGACTACTAATTTATCATCGAAACGAATGAATGAATAGCAAAGAGACTGGTTGTTTTAGTAATGTGCTCGAGCTCTCGGCTTCCTATAGGGCTATTTTACACTGCGCTATGCCCGCCAACAAGAAATACAAAAGCAGTAAATGAAATCCTTACACTGCTTTACAGAAAAAGATTTATATTTGCTTATCAAGGAAAAAGACACTCACTTTTCTTCCTGTCTGCCTCTTCGTTGTTTACTCCATCCCGACTGCACCGGTGTGTCGGCATAGATTTGTTACTCAACTTTCAGATAGCTGCAGTTTTCTGCAGTGGGGAGCATGAGTACTTTGTCAGGAGAAATATGAATTTTCACATTTTGGCTAAGTGGACCTAAGCAAGAAAGGCTTGACTGTAGCGCAGGCAAAGAGTAATAGTTTCACTTTTTTCAGCCCACCACCGGAAACTGGTGAAAATTTCGAGTGCAAATCAGTAATGTATTATTACAACGAGCAGGAATGCATACTAAATGCAGAAACGCGGGAAACAAAGCCAGATCTGTTCATTCCGGAAGGCGAAGAGTTCCAGGTGATGCCCTCTGCTACAGTATCTCACTGCCGATGAGAAAAGTTATATTCATTCGTTTCCTTGTTTATACAGCTTCGTCTTCTTCAGAAAATGCTAGTTTCTTATCAAATTCTAGAGGAATTCATTGTTGTAGACAAAAATTTCACGAATTCAGGTTGATTACTTTGATATCACGTGCCACTTGCGAGCCGAAACATGTCCGAACGGTACGTCACTTCATGCCGTTCGTACTATCAATGCCGCACTGCCTGAGGGCGAAGGATCAATTCATATTCTGCAGTCTGCTGGAAATTCAGTCACCGAATGCTTAGTAAAGTATGTTTCTCAAATTTTAGTTCAGAGAAAATTTTCTAATTAGTAAGAAACTTTTATTTAGTTTTTACGTAATTTTTATGCATTTTTAGCAAATTTTGGGCGCATTAGATACTAGTTTCACGGCTTCTGTGAGGCCTTAGTGAAATCTGAAATCTATGCACGTGGCGCATGAGAGCATCCCAGTGACATTATTAACATAGGATTCCCACGGCGACTGTCTGGAGAGCCTTAACATTTTTGTATATAGTGTATCAAAAAATCCAGGCTATTTCATTTTGTTCAAAATGATCGATCACTGAGCTTCTAGCGGCGCCAAATGAATTGCAGGTGTTACGGGATGGCGGCCGAGAAATGTCGTGCATTCAATTTTGATAAGCAGACGTCCGATTGTGATCTGTTGTACGTCGACGGCAAAACAACTTTACGGCCGGCGGTCCGCTCGGGCATTGATCTCTACGACCTTCACTGCCTTGCTGCTGGTACCAACCATTACTACTAATGCTACACTTCGGAATTTGTAGCGCTCACCGTTTCTGTGCTGGAAGTGATGACAGTTGTGTATGCGTGCTTGCATGCGGGGTCGGGGCGGCGATGAGGGAGCACCGAGGGAGAATGACAGGGGAAAGAGAGGGAGCACGCATCGCTGCACCCAGCCCACCCCCTAAATGTCATTTCGGGACTACACCTCAACCACTGTCTCCTTGACATAATTTGCTGGCACAGCAAATCGGCCAAATTAGCGCACCGAACACCAAATTGTTTTAATTTAATCGACTTTTAAAAGTTATTGAGAAAAGTAGAGTCGCACACACACATGTACTCAACGCACAATCTCACAGCACACAAAAATACGTGTACATAAATACACACAGACACACACTCAAGCAACAGACATACACTCACACACCACAAGCACAAATACGCACACCACGCACACAAAGACACAAATACGCACACACAAACGTATAACACACCACACACACAAAAACATGCTGAAAACAACACATACAAACAGAAATATACATACTACGAACACAATCTTTTGCCAGTGTGCGTTTTCACATTTGCAAAAATATGCAACCTAGGCTGGGACGCAGCTGGTGGGTCCGTGCGATCATGCGTTTTTGCACCGGACTTGAAGCACTAAGGTCATTAATTGCATGAATAGTTGTTGCTTTACACCTACCTTTTGTGATCACTAGCACAAATCACCATAGATTTTACATAAAGTAAATGTACAATTTCGATTTAACGGCCGTTCTTTAAATGTAACCTAGCTGTTCAGTGAGAAATTTTTCCGCCAAAACTTAAAAGTGCCCGCACGTAAGAACTATGCATACTTCAAGGCTGAATTTGAAATACTTGAGTTGTACTTGGACAGGAAACATTCCCCTAAAATTTCAGCTTTCTAGCTTTTCTGGTTCCCGAGTAATTTTCCCGCAGAAACTTTCATACGCCCTTACGTGAGTACCACGCACAGCGTGGGGCTGAATTTGAAATGTTTGAGTTGTATTTGGACAGGGAACATCCCCCCAAAATTTCAGCCCGTTAGCTTCTGCGGTCTCCGAGATCGCTTTCCCGCCAAAAAATTTGCGTATTTTTTTAAAGCATCCGTACGCGGCACCCAGGC